AAAAGGGTTAGATTACAGTTAATCTCCCTAGACTGAGTATGTCAATTGTAATTTAGACAGCCATATAAAAACTGCTCTAAGAGGTAATTTTGCCAGGGTAAAGCACCAACAAAAAATTCAGAAGGGTGCTCCTCAATCTGATCACCACTGGATGCAAGTAACATTCACTGCAGTTCTGTTTTGTGATTTTTATTTACACACTGATGGCTCTGCAAGTGCTCAGTCACCAAAGAGTGAAATAAGAGGCCTTATGTGCCCTAAGCTGATTTCCCCATTAACTGATTGATTGATTGATTTATAAAAAAATAATAATAAATAAAATAATAATAATAATAATAATAATCAGTAGTTATGCAATCATCTTTGTATTAACATATCTAATAAACTAAACTTACAGTGGACATGGCATGCAAGTAAATGATATTCCAGGCAGCAATAGGTTAAGGATTAAAAAATATCCACCTCTCACAAACCTCCCAAATATTATATTTTCATGGAAAATGAACCCTTAAAAAAGCTGAAAAAAATATGACACATGAGTGAGACTTGTATTCTTATAAAAATAAATGGGAGAGAGTCTGTTTCACAAACCGCATACATACTTTGAAGACTGAAAGTCGGGCTGAGCAAATCCAGTGTGTTTCATGTTAGTGTGGTCTTCCAGAAGATTTCTGAGAGGAAATGTTTCTGAGCAATGTAAACACTCAAGACTTCTCTCATGTACTTCTACATGTTTTTCTTCCTCACTTGTTTTGTAATGCTGATGCATAAGTCCTCCCTGAATGATGAATTTGGCACACTGTTCACAGCTCAATGGTTGATTACCTGGAAAAGCATAACATTTTAATAATTTTCAGGTATTCCATAAATTTTAAATATCTTTGTATATGCAACCATACTAGAGAAAGTGGGTGGGGAAAGAGAAGAGAGGAGGGGATGAATATGCATGTCCCCCCCACACATATGGAAAACAATTATTTATATCTCTTTATACAAAACACAAACCTGAATATAGCCCTTACCTAAATCAGTGTTTTTATGTTCTCTGATTTCTTTAATTTGTATATATGACTTGCCACAGTGCTCACAGGTTTCCAGAGTGGCCTCTGTAGTGTGACTGCTTTGAGTATGAACTGTTAGTGTTAGCAGAGATGGGAATGTAGCACCACACTCCATACAGCTGTAGGATCTGTTTAGATTAAAAGAAAATCAATCAAATCCCTATAAGCAATTTTATCATGCTGGAAAACATGATTCTTTATGAAGGTTTCATTAATCAAAAAAATACATTTAGGTATTCTTTCAAAATACAGATTGGTAAAAAAAATACATGAAGCAATATCAAGTGATAGTATTAACTGAAGAAGAATACTTAAAATACTTAGTCCATTAAAAGTAAAGCAAAGCTAAAAAAACAACAATAACAACAACAGTACTTACTTGTCTCGCCTGAATTTAGGGAAAATTTCATCTGAAACTTTTTCCTCCTCTCCTTCCCAAGAAGCATTTTGTTCAAGAATGCTGCTCTCAGTGGCTGATGATGGCAAAGAATTTCCCTTTTCCTTGCATGTCTTTGGCTCTGGCTCAGTGGACATAAGGATTTCTTTGCTACAGGTAGCTGCATCATTTAATAATTTAATATCCTCAATCATATTGTGAATCTGTAAATGGAATAAGTATTCATGCTTAAAATACTAATTTTAAAAAATCATAAATCTAAAACAGTAGTGTAAATATAATATAAATCTTGTTATGTAAGTGATACATAAAATATAATTCTGGTTTTGTTTTTATTCTATTTACCATATATAATCTAAAAATGGAAAATTCTTCACTCTAAAGTAGTCTATAATTTTCCGACTAATAACATGAGTTACAAAGAAACAAAGTTGCATGAGTAACTGACAAGAAAATAAAGATATAGACACTATTCTTACTATTTCTGAAATACAGGATGTAAAATACTTACAGAGTCCTGATCTTCAAGTCTTGCATTGTGTCTTCTAATTCTCTTCCCATTTCGAATTTGCTTTGAGCTGCTTGCTTCACCCATTACTTTCTCTGACTGTGAAAGTGATTTCCTTTTCTTTACATTCAGTTTTTTATTATTCTCAAATGATGGCACACCTAAGGATTGCTCCAGCAAACTTAATCTTTGGTTGATCAAAGTAGGGCTTGGGTTATTCTTATCTTCCTGCTGATACTTTTGAATTGGTTTGACCTCATTAACTTCAATATCAAATAATGATAGGTCAATATAAGAAAAAACAGTGCTTATTGCTGTGCCAACAATTGTACAAGAACCTCTGTACATAATGTTCAGTATACCTTCCCATAATGAGTGATTCATACTTGTTATCATAACAAGAGCATGTTCATTTGAGAGTTCTTGCAGCAATAGCTCATGAATGGGAGGGCAAATTGCACTGAAAAGAGTTTTATGTGCAAGCATTCTTTTATTCTCCACTACTAGCATAAGATCGGCATTCCTCCCTACAGTATAGTATTGCTGTAGTCGTCCCCATAAATCCTTAGCTTCTGGTCTCACACGAGCATGGATAGTGACATGTGACTTTGGTTTCTTATCACTACTGCCCTTAACTTTTGCAGCAAACCTCTTTGTTAACTCTTGCAAACTCTCCACTTGGAAAGCTTCACATAATTTGTGAAAATCCACTAACATATCTTTCTGGACACAAGTTTTGCCAAAATACATGTAAGTGATAAGGCTCTGAGCTATCTTTACTTTTATATCGGGCAGGTGAATTATTCGTATCCTTCGATCTTCTTGAAAGGCACTGTTGAGTATTGGACTTGATGCACCAAGTATCAGTTTATGTGCTTTAATGATATGGCCATTCACAACAACTGCAACATCTGTACATTGCTGATTGCAACACATATACTGCAAAGCTCGAAGCAAATGCTCTTTAAATCCTGTCCATTGTACTGAATACATGCCATTACTACAAACTGAGTAAGATAATTCATGGTTGTCAAGATTTAGTGATCTTGTAACACTCTGAACTTGTTCTAGCAGAGATGATGATACTGTCATGCTACCAGAATATAAGAGAGATCTTGTGGCGTAAAGCACTCCATGGGTTGGCTGGATGTCTACCGTTATGTTGTGGATAATCAGGGTATCCTGAAAAATAATTTTTTTATCAATAATACAGTATTCAAATATACATATTACCATACATGAAGGCATCAAAACATTTCTGACTTACAAATGAAAATATCAGTATCAGTTTTTGCAATCCATGGGCAAAAAAACAAGATAAAAACAAATAAATAAAGCAAGCAAAAAATTACAGCTCTCCAATATAGAATAGTTTTGCACATACATGGGTCTGAAGCTTTGATAATAGACCTAAATGATCTCTAAATATTGATTCAATCAATCAAATCAATCTATTAATGAAAAAAAAATAAAATGAAATAAAAAAATAATAAAAAACTCTGGATTGAATTTTATCCAAATATCACATTGTAAATACCTACATCCAAAGGACACAGTTTTATTGGCAATATTTAAAAATAATAATACAAAGAAAGACAACACTACATAAATTGCATAAAAACTACTCACCTGCTGGAGAAGAGGATCAAGACGTTTTCTCCACCAACTGCTTAGTGCTGCAAGCAAAACCCCATGCATCATCATCTCTTCATCCCCAAGACGCAAACACACCTCCGGAGGCACTCCTTTGTAAGAAGCTAAGTCTTGTAATGACCTCATAAGATTGGATACTAATTCATCCCAGCAAAATGCTAACGAATTAGTCACTGGCTTCTGCTGGTCTTCCCTTAATTTTTCTGCATCAACTTCCATTTTGTTATTTTTTCTGAAAAGGTAAAAGTTATGCATTATTTCTATATGCATTATATGAAAATTAATCACTTGCCAAATTACCATTACCTTTCAAGGTAGGTCGAGTCTGTGTTACAAGGAATGGTATTATTTGCCTAAGCAGATTATTTCATGTAACAGTGAATGTACTTTTTTCATTCTCTTTATGAGAGTGTCAACAGATATTCCCTATCTCAGTGCAGTCATTATATAAATATTTACCAAAGTATTAGTTACTTATTACACAACTATTCTATCATCAACTTGAAAAAGAAATGCCATAGATCTTACTACTTTTATTTGCATATTTCAGATATTTAAACCAGAATTTCCATAGCATACCTCTGCAATTGGAGCTACTATCCAGTCCAAGCTGGTTTCTACAGATTAAGACAAAAGTAATTTTCTAGAAACAGTCCGCATTTTAAAATATGGTATTCATTATTTGACTGATGTCACATTCAGTGGAATTAATATATAGGCATAATATGAATGTCCCATAAACTGCACAGTATCTCTTGGCAGAACCCTCAGGGGAGGATGTTTACCTCCATCTAGCAGGGCACAAGATCACTCGGACCTGTCCAGGCTCTATCTTACCAGATACATATGCTGGAGATTTTGCATTCCAGGAAGGAGGATTATGGGTAATAGCCCCAAACTGCTCTTCTTTAAGGGGTATAACCCCTACCAATGACTTGCAAAATTGAGGATGTAACAAAATAATCTAAAGAAATTGTAGCAAGTGATTTATGCAATGGAAATTAAATGAGCCAACAAGAACTGTACTTGGCCATGACCTGACAACAGACAATAGCAACCAGTGTTTTAGAGCTAATAAGACTTTTGATAGATAATCATATAACAACAGAAGCTAGAGCCATAGGAAGTTGTTGAGATTTAAATCAGTTTTATCATAACTAGGGTGTGTGGACGGTCCTAGGAAAACTGTTTCACCATAAATAGCCTAAGCAAAATATCATGCAATAATGAAAAAGAGTAGCAGACAGTGATTGCAATTCCCATCAACTCATTGACTGGCCATTCTGAACTTATTGGTCAAGAAACTATCGGTACAGGTCCTAATAACTGGCCAAGTTCCATCCAACCCGAACATACGAGATGAAGAGGTATAGGGGAGAGC